ATAAAGATGTCAAACAGGACTGGCCCCAAACATAACAACTCATAACTCCTAAATGGGAACAAAATGAAAGATAGAAAAGATTTCCAGACACAATGCTATTCACAAACTCTTTCAGGGGTGTGTGGACAAATTTCACATCAATGAGAGCTGTTAGTTAATAGCACTGCCCCTTTTAAAGATACAGTTACAACTGCACTCCAACTTTATTCAAGCTTGGGCTGCTACAGTCCTATCATGGTGCTTTTGCCCTCAACACACATATTCACATCCACTCGCTCTTGTACAGAGCATCTTTTAAAAGTTATTCACCTTTGCTTAGATAAGTTTGCTGACCTAGCTTACTACCCAGTTCACACAGGTATCAGTGGAGTCACAAAAGACATGAATCAGTGTAAGCAGGTGGAAATACACCCAGGAATGTGAAAATATGCTTGCTGACAAAGAATGCAGAATCACCTACTGCTAGGCAGAATCATTATTTCTCATTACTGTGTCAGCATGGCTTTCTAATACCCAAGCACGTGTGTACAATGGAGCTGTACAGAAAAAAAATACTGTGGTTCATGTCCATCAACAAAACATTGCTTTCTCAGTAAGAAAACAGACTGAAGAGAGGTTCATCTGAAGTGAACAACAGACTTTCTAACTCCAGCTGAATTACTGAAATTACCTTATTAGGTGTTCAGCAAGCTCTGCAATAAGCTCTTCAGGGCAATCCTGCATGTGGGTCTTTAAAACATCCTCAATTTCCTCTTGTGACATGAAAGAGAACTCCGGCTGCTTATTCCTACCTGTAGTGACCATGTGCAACATTCATTGAGAAAACAAAATACTCAGTTTTGCTGTAGATACTCTGTAGCATGAGACATTGAAATGCCTCAAAGTCCAAACCTCCACAGAAGAGATGACAGTTAAATTTTACACACATGAAAAACTGACAAAATTACTCTTTTAATCACTTAGAAGTTATTCTATGTAACAGACAACTGAAGTAGTATATAAGGACATGCATTTTTGGTGAGAGATTTCAAACTACCTGGCTCATCCAGTACTTTAGAAATGATGACATCACTAACAGGAAATAGTTTTTTGTTTTTTTAAAATGCCCAAACTGAGAAGAACGTTCCTATTTGAAGGATTTCACAAGGTTGCTGGGGTTTTTTTAACCTCATTTAGTAAAGTACATAATCATGTATCAAAGAGTATTCTAAACTTGAGGTTACAGGATAAAATCTGAGACACGATAAAGCAAGAATATTAAACCAGACAAGAAGTTTCAGTAATAAAATCAGCTTAGATGCTGCTGGTAAATGCTATGAATTAAGCATCTCTAGTTTGGTTTTGGACAAAATACAAAGTCTGTTTGCATGCTGCAGAATTTAGTTTTTACATATAAGAATGAGATCAAGATGATGGCATGAGACCAGAAAAGGACAGACATTGCATGTTCCAGATGCTGCATAAAACAGGTCTGTTCTGCACATAAGGTAACTGAATGAATGGAAATCCGTGATGTTCCTAGTTGTGCCACAGTAGTAATGAACAACATACAAGGTTATACAAACAGGTGAAAAGGGAGCTTAAATCAGGTGTTGGAAGCGTCTTATTTATATCTGAATGGCTACATCTGGATTTATCTTGGGATTTTGGTTCAATCTATTTAATACAATACAGCAGTACAAGCAGCAACAGCTGCAAAACATGAAATGCTACACCAAAAAGAAAGGTGATTTAACACTGTTTTACTCAGTAACTGAGCAGCCTCGAAAAATAACTTCATTTGTTTGTGAATTACAGTATTCTATGAGAGTAGTATACAAAATTAAGATGCTGTACTTCGTGTTTAAAAGTTTTTCAGCCAGTATCGAAAGTCTAGATACTATATATAAAATGAAAGTACTTATCTCTGGTACTCCATTGACTAAAAGAAATAACACATAATTATGACTGTTTCATTTGCAACCACTATTTGCTAAAGGTCTAACAATATACGTGTTTACTTCTGAGGAAGCCACCCATGCTCCTTCTCCTAACAGTGAAGGTAGAGAGATGGGCACCAAGAGGGAGCAATTCAAACTCATCCTGTAATACACATCTAAAAGAAGTGAGACAGACTAGGCCTTCAAACTACCTACTTTACTCTGTTACTAATTCAATAGTTATAAAGGTACTCAGCTCATATGTAGAAATCTGAGCTAAGCAAGACGAATCTTATTTAAAATATTAAAACTTTGTCTGTAGATTATATCCTTATAAGGAAAAACACCTAAGTGCTGTTACATTGCTATGATTTGTTAATTTAAGCTAATTAAGCCTTGGAACTTGATGAGAACTTCTCCATTTATCATACACTATTCAGCAGGTGTTAAGAAACCAAGTATAATATTAATCCTGAAATCTGCAGCATTTCCTACATAAAATCAAATTTAAAAACCCCACCTGTTCTCATTTCCTTTAATTCCATTTCTGTTTTAAAGACTAAGTTATACTATCCAGTGAATAGAGTACATCCATTTCATTTAGATAGCAATATCTTAACCACTGATACAGTTTTAACAGAACAGTATTCTCAAATTCTTTGAATATTTTAAATGACCTTAAAAATACAGTGGGGAAAAACGGAGATGTGGAAAAGCATGTGATAAAAACATGTCAGTATGAGTAGACAGTGATGAAAGTAAAACAGCAAACCTGTGCTAGTTGCTTGTGACTCTTCATCGCTGTCGGCATCCTTTCGTCCTTTCTTCTTGGTTTTCTTAATCTTGATCTCCCTAGCATTGCCGCCTCCTCCTCCTCTCATGCTTCCACTGCCCTCTGGTGGAAAATTACTTCCTTAGCACACAGAACTTAAAAAGTTTACAGTATTGTGGTAATTTGTCTGCATCCCTTGTTAATGTTGAATTTAAAAAAAAACAACAAAAAAAAGCCTGATTCTAAACATAACCTACAATACGCTTTCCAGAATCTTAGGGCTGTAAGTTTCATTCTTAAGAAAAAAAATCAACTAAGTCAAAGCTTTGTTTAAGTGAATGTCATTAATAAACACAAATAACAATCATATTCAAGTGTACATATCATGAAAAAATAGAGCAGGATCTTTTTCTGGCTGAAAACAGATGAGATACCAGTGTCCATAAGGTAACGGGAGAATTTCTGTTGGCTGAAAATAGCATCTTAGTAAGCATTTAGCACTTTTATTTAGTGATGCTGAATAACCTAGTTATTAAAAAATAATCCAGTAAATGTGATTGTTAACTTTCAGAGAAAGAATCCTACGTAGTAAGTATTTATCCAAAATATTCTTGGAAATATGCATTCAATTAACTAAAACACTAATTCTTTTTTGACAATTCCTAGATAGAGACATGGTTTAGTAGTGGACAGGTTTTGGTTGGACTTGTTGATCTTAAAGGTCTTTTCCAAACAAATGATCCTATGATTATAAAGCAATGAGATGTTCCAGTTTGGACAAATACAACCAATTACTTAGTTTGTAGGACCCATAATCCACATATTCACACTGCAGAGAGGATCTCAATTTGCAGTACAGTCCCTCTCCACAAGGTAAGCTATTCTGCTGTTTGTTCCCTTTTTCACAGCTTGTTCCTTTCTTTTTTCACTTGAAAGAAGTTTAGACTCCAGAATAATTGGTTCTATACTTGCATTAAGTCTTGAGAAAGTATTTATTTTTCCATTTAAATATAAGGTCCGGGAGTTCAAGTAACTACATTATTTAACAGTACTATCATTTAGGGAAAGGAAGCACAAAGACAAGATGCTACTACTCACAAAGCTAACTGAATCTGTTAAATGGATGGATTTTTAAGCATTACTTTGCAAAAACAACAAACTACTACACTTGTACCTAGCAGCTGATGGTGTACTTGTAAGATCTTCTGAGTTTCAATCTGAATATGAGGAAAAACTTTTTTACTGTAAGGGTGACAGAGCACTGAACAGGCTGCCCAGAGAGGTTGTGGAGTCTCCTTCTCTGGAGACATTCAAAACCCGCCTGGACGACTTCCTGTGTGACCTGGTCTGGGTGATCCTGCTCTGGCAGGGGGGTTGGACTGGATGATCTTTCGAGGTCCTTTCCAACTCCTAACATTCTGTGATTCTGTGAGTTTGTGACCTAACCCCCCTCAAAAAAAAAAAAAAAGAGATGGTGCTTTTCACAGGGCTACTGCTGAGAAGAGAGCAGATACAAGCTGTTTGTTAACTGTACAATATAGTAGTTATTTTGGAAACAAGCTCCCTTCATTCTGTATTCCACAGAGAGATGAAGCATGAGAGTACTGCCAGAAAAGCCATATTTTATGACAATGGGATCCATGGACTGTAACCTTTACACAAAGTATTACAAGTGTAAATGCTTCTTCAGATACTTGTTTGTAACAGACTGTTGCAAATGGTATTATAAATAGACAATAGAGAATTTATCTTGCAAATTTTCATCAATCCAATACATGGCAGAATCCGTATTTGTAATGCCATGTAAGGTTACACTTAAACAGTAGATATTGATATAGTCACACAGAGACCTTAAGATAGGCAATGTGGCATTGGCTACATTCTGCCATTATGCAGTAACATCTAACCCTTAAACTGTGATGTTGACTGTTTTAAGGTAGTACACCTAACAGTCCATTAAAAAAAAACACTACAGTGTAGTGCTGGCTGATGGTGTAGCATAGGTTACATGCAGATATGAATGTGTCTAGACACGCAGTACATGCTCAGTAGAGACTCCCTCCTAAGAGGCTTGGAAATCAAAGTAATTCTATTTATGACAGTTCAATGAAAGTTCAAGTCTCCCTACTTCAGATCTGGCTAGAAAAATCTGCTGTCTCTTGTGGCAAGAAGTCTATAGATTCCATCCCAACTCAGTCATGGTCTTTTTAAGAGTAGAGTATGATGTTTTATTTTTCAGATGAGTAATTTAAATTAAGATAGAGGTATCAGTGCTCTAATTCCGTTACTTTCAGTAGCACATAAAACTTGGCATGTGAGTTCAACACAGATTGCTCAGCTGTGCTGTAGCAACACAGGTTTTTGTGACTGAAAATAGTCTTCAGTTTGAATAATGTTTTAAAAACCAGAAAGAACTGAAAGGGTTTAAACCTACACATTTTTATTCTTCCTCAGATTAAGATCTCTTCCAAACAGCCACTACACAAATGGAGTAAGGCTTGGGATTAATTTAACTCAGAATATACCTTAAAGTAAACTGTATGAATCTCCAAACAACTGTTATGCATGCAAACAATAGAAAATGGTCTGACATGGGATTCTCAGAGAAGATGTATGATACTTTCCTAAAAAACCTCATCTTAATACCTCATTTCTCAATTTAGACACAGTGATTCTGGAAGCAACTTCTCAAGATTACTGAGAAATATTTTCATTTTCCTAGATCCCTCAAAAGCGGAGAGGAAGAACGCATCTATATATACCGTGTAATAAAAAATGGTACAGAGGTCCCCAAGCTAATACTGGTTTGGTCAGTCCACACTGAACAAGTCAATCTTATGTGATCATAACTATAATTACTATACACTAATAAGTGAACATGGATTCCCTGCTTCTAAAGCCAGTGGCCTTGTGTTGGACTAACTCAAGGTATCTTTATGGTACTTCCTCTGCATTTCTAAATCTGAAATTAGTTCTCACGAACATAGCTGTATCTACACCTACAATATAATGATGGTAAGTGGTTGGATTATTTCTTAAGTATCTTCAGCAATGGACTGGAGGCAACTAACGGACTACAGAAATATATTAAATTTATATTTGAGTATTTCCAAGGCTAAACAAAAGCCTATTTTTATTTTTTTTTGCTTAAGCTAAATATTGATTCCTTACCTGTTGCTTTCTTCCTTCTTTCATCCTTTTTGTCTTTTTTATTAGCATATGAATTCTCTAAACCAGAAGCTTGTTTTAAATCTTCTTCAGTGATTAAATTAACAGAATTATTTTTCATTTCCTAAAATGAAGAATATGCACTTAATAGCAAAAAGATATACACACCAAAGATACATACAGAAACATTTAAGCCAACATGTGGCCATTTTAAGTATACTAAGCTAACACCAAGTTTCCAAGTGCAACACATGAAAAGACATTAATTCTTCTCTTAAAAATTCAGCATCTGATCATACTGTTAGCGTGATGCTGTTCCTTGAGCGCAGCTGAATATACACTAAATTACACTGATTACATATACAAACCTTTTCTTCATTTTTGCCCTTCTTCTCAAGCTAGCAGTCAGATGAGATGCAAACAGATGGTAACAGCAAATAGAAAGTCACAAACCATATTCCAACACACAAGGCATATTGCACCTTGACCAATAAAAAATCTGTACCTTTTCAGCTTTCTGTTGCATCGTATCAGAAAACAGATCAGCACAGCTGCTTAGAAATTTCTCACTGACCACAGTGGTGTCATTGAAGACTAAACCTGAAGAATTTTTGTTTAAAGATCTCATCACTTGCTGAAGCAAAATGCCAACATCTTCTATTGACAATGAACTAGGCAGAAGAGTCTAGGGTAAAGAAAATCAAAATAATTTACATAGAATAATCTGTTCTGGAATGGACAGACAGATAAAAAGAATCTACAGACACCACACTAGGTATCTGTTAACTATTTGGAGTATATTGCACTTTGAAGATTAAACTAGTAATTTAAGAGTAAGCACTATTTAAAATCTTATAACATCCCAAATGAACACTGCTCTAGAATATGTGTTACCTCTGAGAAAACACATGGCAACTTCTTCAAAATGCTGCTCAACAGATACAGAATAGCACCAAACACAAAACAACAGTGACCCTCCTTACAAGTGATGAAATAGTGCCGTAAGGCCTAAAAGTAGGATTTAGCCAGGACAAAATGGTTAATAACTCCCGCTTACCAAAACCATCATAAGAGCTCAGTTTAAATAAAAAAAAACAAACAACAAACCAACAAACTCCACACAAATATATTGCTCTCTAGCAGAATACATTAGCACTATTTTTGAAATGAAAGTTAGTCTTAGGTATCTATCAACTGAATACTGACACATCCTTCCCCTGTTTTTATTCAGACCAACTTAAAGACAAATAATGCCTTTTAACTTTTTAATTTACTTGAACCGAATATTATTGCCAACACTGAATTTTCATTGTAGTATGTGTAGTTTCTATAAAGTATCATTTGACACAAGACCAAGAAAAATATAAATAAATGCAACAACAACAACTAAAAGGATTGCTTACTGCTACATCTATCCAGTTTCCAGAGCTGATGGCTTCCTCTACAGAGGCTTCAACTTGATCCACAATTTCTTGACCAACACAAGCTGCTCTCAGAAATAAGAGTTGTGTGGACTTGTACCTTTTTTTAATGTAGCCTGCTGGGTCAGGGATGCCAAGTCTGTACAATGCATCAAATTCTATAAAATAGTCAGATGTCTGTTACATTTAAGTACATTCAAATACATGCAGTATCTTATGTGGTAAGTTTTTGAAAGCAGGAAATGAAGAAGTACATAAAGTTTCTTTACAAGTAAATGCAGCCTGAAGCTGAAGTTAACCTAAACTTTAGTTCTGTACAAGCTACATGTAAGCATAGTTAACAGAAATATGAAGATTAAATCACGGACGTGACTTTCGTCAGAGTTCTGGCAAAAAAAATGTTTTTTTCAGATTCTTATACCACTAAGTTTATCTTTGCTATTATACCTTTCCAAACTATTCTAATATAACATGAACGATATTTACACAGTATACAACGTCAAAATCTTCTGTTTCAAAAGTTACTCTAATATACTCATAGAATCATGCAATACCTCACAAGCAAAGCATTTCAACTATTTAGCAGTTTATACTTAGACATTCTGAAAACATTCAAAGACTTTGACAGATGCTCTATCAGTCAATCAATATTAGAAAAACACTTAATACTACTACAGTAAATTATGTCAAACCTTTTCAAATTGCAAGCCTGTTATTTAGGGACTGGCCCTTTGAGACCATAAGGGTACATTTCTCTGTTTATTCAGGTCCGCATTTTCCCATAGCTCCTGTCTTAAAACATCGTTGACCAGCATCACTCAGCTTTAAGTTAGACAGTCTTGTTTGGATCCAAATCAGGATGCTGGTGCTACCCACACCAGTTCTACAAATCTTATTTTAGAGAGGTTTCTTCCTGTGCACTGCATGTTTGCCCATCTGCGCTATAAACAGCCAAAGTGTGGTTGTAATCTGGACTCCTGGTCTAAAATGCCAACCATGTGGGTCAAACATGATAATCTGAAAAATCTACAATGAGCAGTTTAAGAAATGTTTTCAAAACACAACAGAAGTAGCATTTGTAACATCTGTAACAAGCACTTGCTTGTGAGATAAAGTCACTGTTTAGCAATATGGTTCTCTCTGCTGAAACCTGGTTCTTTATGAGAAAGTAACACACATCATTATAAGCAAGATGGTCTTTAAACAGACAAGTATCAACTACTGTAACTGATCTCCACTCATTCTTGTGAGGTTTCACTTTCGACATTAGCTGTATTAGAGTAAGACCAATTACCTAAACTAATTTTAGAGAGGAATTTTATCGACAAGAATAAAGATTAATTACCTAAGTAACCATTCTGCTTGAAAAAGGAATCCACCCAGTTGCTCTGCGTTCTGGCATAGATGTCTGGAACAAACACAGCCTTATCCTGTCTCCCACCAACCACGGTGCCTTTTAGACGACCACTATTAACAAGTTCTTCTAGCACAGCTACAAGAAGAAAATAAATGAAGAGACATTTCCACTTCAATATATTCATTTATCAAAACATAGTAATTATCTTCTCTGCTTTATTTCTTCTTTTTCCAACAGATTAGTTGGTATTCTTTTTACTATTAATTGACAGAAACTGAAGATCAAACTACAAGTGCTTGCCCTAATGAAACTTTTTTTGAGCTCTATCAGTTATTTTTAATACTTATGAGAATATCTTGACAAAAGCTCTGGAAATCATACGACGTTTCAAACAGTAAGCCACAATGGCAGGATCAAAACATTTTTTATTGAACTGGATAGTCTGAGCTTTTAATTCAGAAAATGTTGCCATAAAAGAACCTTCCTCTGGCCAGACAATAAATTATACGAACATTGTATTAATAATATTCTCTTTGAATTCACTGCTTGCACGATAATCAAGATGGAAAAAAAGAGAGATCTGAACTTAACAAAATTACATGAAAAATTGCTACCTACACTGCATGAATATGAGCACCTCCTACGGGTGACCATATTCATGGTTTACAATGTTCACACTTGCCAATAATAACATGATAATGCACAAATACTGCTGACAAAGAACGTCTTGGTAACTGGCAGTGGCCAAAGCCTTTTTTAAATGCTAAATAAGGTATTTTCAATCCATTAAAGGTGCACAGGAATGTCTGATTTGCCTGATATGTTCTGTTTTTGCCTTTTCATAAGTTATTAGATACATTCAAAAAACCAGTGACGTCGGTTGCCAAGCTCTATTGAGTTCCAGAGCTTTGCTAGATGGCTTTTTTACCTTATCATTTTGTGTTGATTTCTATTTCATTAAAAGACACATTTTACCCTGGAACAGAACACTAAATAGTGTCACAGGGTACGGCTCCTTCCTCATTAAATATGAATAGCAGTCAACATTTCAACATCTTTTGTAGAGCATATGGAAGTTCAGCTCACCTACAGAGGAAAACCTGGTTCCAAAAGAAATACGTTTTAAATAATGGGGTATTTTGTCAGATATGCCCATAGTGTAGATAAATATCTATAAGCTAGCAGCTACTGAACACGACTGCCACCAACAAAGCTGAACAGTAGTTACACTGAAAAAAACTTAGAACAGAAAGAAACTGATTTAAACAATATATAATTTTATCTAATCTAAGATGAGCTAGAAATTACATTCTGCCATGGTTCAGTTACCTTGTATAAAATGGAGCGTAGAAGACAGATTCTGAAAATGAAATTTCATTTTTATACTTAGCCAATATTTAAGTTACCCAAGAAAATAGTCAATGTGCCTATTCTACCTAAACATTTGTCAGATAAAACAGTTTGCAACCTCAACTTGTATTTATTAAAAGTTTTGGGAAAAAGAGTAAATCTTTTATAGGTATTTAAAATCATTTTGTAGAGCAGCAGCAATAAATCAAGAGTCTTTACAGAGAAAGGGGGAGAAATGAAGATGTCAATTTTTCTATTATTTCAAGTGCCAGTTCTGAAACTCCAGGGCAGAGAAGGTGCTTTCAGAGGAGATTTCACAGCTCCTTCTACAATTATGCCTGGATAGTCTTTTGTTTTAAAACAAAACAACAGGAACTTAGCAGACTACTGGAATCTCACATATATTTTTAAATCACAGAATCACAGAATCACA